GCTCGCTTGGAGGGGGTCCCGTAGCCTGTTTCTTAATTACCTTCTGGTTCTTCCTTGGTCTGTCTTTACTTCCGCTTTCCTCCTTCCCCAGGCTCTGTCGGGTTTTCTTGGCTTGGGGGGGGTTGAGGTTTGTGTTGGGGGCCTTTTTTTTTTTTTTTTTTCGGTGAGATCATTTCGCCTGGAGGCTGCAGTGTGACAGAAATGCTGAAAAGCCCTGTCGCTCGGGGAGGCTTCCTCATCTAAACTCCATAGTCGGCTTGCTTGCAATCAGGTGGTAGCCTTTCAGAAAACTAATACCTAATTGAGTTGGGGGTAGTAATTAATGGAAAGAGGCCAAAAAGTAAAAGCATAAGGTATATATTGCTTAGATAAAAATGAATTTAAGTCTTTGAGAATGGGACAGAGTAAATGTGAATTAAGAACTAAAGGAGTTAGTCTTAGGATGAAAATTCTAGAAATTGTAGACAAACTGTTGTCATGTGGCTCCTGTTTCTTTGCAAAGGAAGGGCAATACTGAGTCATAACTAGATTTCAATTTCAGTTTTTTACATCTTAGCAGTTAATACCCTTTGACTTTTCAATACTCTGAAGTATATAAGGTGCCAAAGTACTTATGTTTTTATGCAGTTAATACTCTCCAACTTTCACTACTCTAAAATATTTTAAGTGCCAAGGTACTTAGTTTTGATGGCGTTTGATAAATATGGATAGTAGTTGTCATCCCTGCCATTATGTTAAACAGATGGGACAGCCGAACACTTCACACTTGTTAGTGTTTCTAAGTGAGTCATTTAAAGAGTGTGACTAATCACCCTGCCATACAGTTGTCAACAAAACAGTATCTTTTTTTTTTCTACCACCCACAAAATCCAAAGAAGAGATTTCTAGATTTTCTGTTGATGAGAAATGAAAAGTAAAGGACCTCTCTTTTGAGCAGCGGTTTAAATTTATATTGGGGGGGGGCTACTTGTGATGGACTTCTCGTCTTAAGGATTTGTATGTCATTTTTTCTATGCAGCAATATGGTAATATATCCAGAAAGTCGGTTAATTTACTATGGTTGTTGTCAGGCAAACAGTTAACACATTAGTTGTTTTAACTAAATAAATTTTACTTGTCCTCTTTCCCCTCCCTGCTCTACTTGTGTCAAGTTGTAAGTCATCTGAGACAGAGTTGCTTCAATATTTGGTGCAGCATGGATTGGGCATTTTCCTGATAATAGTCAAGTGATGGGTGTCATCGATTTGGACATAGCCCCTGTGGGAAATGGGAGTCAGCAGTTGCCTATGGCTTATGAGGCTGACCCAAGAAGGCAGTAGTAAATTTAAAACCTCCACAAATATTATTGGAATAGAATATGTCTTGAAGAGGAGTTAATCAGATTTGTTTTATTTTCAGTTAAGTTAGAGAGCTGGGAGAGAAGTGTTAAAAACATTGAAATGCAATATTAGACACAGGAGGCAGATGAGGGATAAGATTTGGAAGGACTGTTTAGAAGTGCAGTTACCTGTGGGGAGGAAGAAGTAGCATATGGGGTGGAAAATGAGGAGACGAAGGATGCATCAGAATGGATCCCACAAACAACATAAAGGTATATTAAATGTATGCCAGCTTCTGCTGTTGGCAAATACATTTTCTGATTCTTCGTGTCTGTTGGCAGCATTGATAAAGATTTACTCTTTATTGAATGTGTGTCTAACAGTTGGTTTGTTCTGTTTGTTTTCTTACCACTTTTCCTGTGAAAACTAATTGCTGATTGGGAGTGTGCTGAGAATGCTGTTCTGTGCTTTTTCCCATAATTAATACTTGAAGTGACTTTGATATGTTGGTGAATTGACAAAAAATAAGTTTACCCAATAACTTTCTTTTCACACATAAGCAGAATGGTGCCATGTGGTTGTTTTTTCTGGCCTGGTGATCTCTTTAGAGCAGTGATCTCTTCTGTCAGGTGTCTACCTCAGCAGGTATTGCAGATTACTTTTACCAGATGGGAAGCCCCCTTGAAAGGATGACACTTTTGCTTTCTCTTCTTTCAAATTGAATGTTGAAGAACAGGTTTTCTTTAGGAAATAGAGAAGCTGAGGAGTGGTCTGAGAGGTGATTGGCCCAGGACTGAGTCCTAACCAGAGAGAGCTGGTAATGGGACAGAAATCAACTGAGGTGGTGCGTTTTTCTGTTACCGGATTCATGTCTTGTGCTCCCAGTGGTTAAATATTTGGAAAGTATTGAAGAACTGTGGGTAAAGTATAGCCCTTTCTCTTCTACACCAGTTGCCTGGAGATGGGTATTCCTTCGTTAGCTAATAATTAGATTAGAGGTCAGTGTTCCAGTAATACCAGAATGTCCAAAGAGTCAGTTCTGTCAAAAATGTGTCTGTAGGCTTTGTGCTATGTGCCAGGTGGTGCTGGCAGGGATACTCACTTAAGTCTTAACTGTTTTATCAGTAAGTGTTTCAAGTGGAAGATGGTCTTCTCTAAAGCAGTAGCTGCAGTTGTCCGAAGTCCACACTGGGTAATTGCAGCCCAATAATTAAAGAACGATTGTTTTCAATGACATTGTAGCTGTTAAAATATTCCATGCTGCTGTTGTATTTTACTTGGGAGGGGGGAAATAGTCTGTTATTCCTTTAACTTTCTAGAATATCCTTATTTAGCATATCTGTCATTGCTCTTTTATTTTTAAGTAAGCTCTTTTATTTTTGAGCAAGCTAGAAGCAAAATGCTTGCATAATAAACTATACTGTTGACTTGACAAATAACATGGACCTTGGTTCATCTTAATAATCTTAAGCTATTAATAAACTAATTTAATTGAAAATGCTAGAAATGTTTTACTGTAAATTAGGTAAATTCTTAATGTAATCATTGTGCAGTCTAACCTTCTGGTTTTGTTCAGGACGGCCTGGCATTGTCATTATGGATCGCTCTCAGCACCATGCAGGGAATGGCAATGAGCAGCCGCCTTCACGGGAGCATGGTCGTGGTGAAGATGAGAGACAACGACAGCTGGAGCGCCTCGGTAGGGAGGAGGCCTATTACCAGTTTGTTAATGAGCTCAATGAAGAGGACTACAGGTTAATGAGAGACCGCAACCTGCTTGGCACTCCTGGTAAGATGTGGATACCTTGAGTAGAAAAGGTATCTGTCAGGCATCACATGCGGTTGAATGACTTGCATACCCTGACACCTGTGGCTTTGTAGAAAGGAAAAAACTCTTTTCAAAAAAGAGTTCAAAATTCTTTTCAAAATTAATGATATTCATTAAAATTAGCAACTGAATAGATATTAAAGCTGGAATAAAAATATAACTCTTTCAAATGCAGGATCTCCGCATATAGGTAATATCCAAACCCAAAAAATTCATATCTGGTACCTTAAAGTATATCTGTTGATATGTGGCAATTTTGGAGGCCTCCAAGTTGTTACTAGAAGTTGGCATGCTCTTGACACACATTCAGCATGTTTTTTCTTCCACCCCAGTACCTGCTTCCTCTGTTATCTGTGTAACTGTGTTATAATCTCATAGTAGTGCTGTTTCTTTTGGATTTCATTAATTTTAATTTATTTCTGAATATTTTCCTTCAAGGTAGCACATAGTGTTACTTCTGCATGGCTGTGTTGAGCCAATAATAATGTCTTACCTAGCAGCATTATCAAAATGTAAATTATTTCAGGGGAAATAACAGCAGAAGAGTTGCAGCAACGCTTGGAGAGGGCTAAGGAGCATCTGGCATCGCATACTGATCTGGATAACGAAGAAGGTGAAGGTAGAATGGTTGGAGGTAAACATTCATATATATTTATATATAAATACAGGTACACATCGTACATGATGCATAAATATTGTTCTGTACCGATATTTAAGAGAAATGCTGCAGTGCTACGCATTTCAAGTCTTGTTTTCTCATTGTGCCTCTGTGGATTGTTTTTAAAGTAGAAAGGATTTCCTAATGATATGAAAACAAACTTGAAATACTTCATGAAAACTGATTTATGTCTGCCACAAATTACTTTCTCCTTTTCTGGTTTCCTTTTGCTAGTAAATTTAATAGCACAAAAATAATTTTCATTCATATTCTTAAAAGGGTTTACCATATATTAGAGAAGTTGCAACAGAAAGGAAATTAGTTGGGAAATAGTCAACCTCTCCACTGTTTTGTTGGTTTTGTCGTTTAATTTCAATTCGTTTTAATGGAGTGAGGCTTGTATTATGTGCACTGTCTTCTCACTTCCCCAGCAATACTGACTTAATCATTTGGTGAATTCTAGTCAGATTTAGGAGAGGAAGAGGCAACTCTGAAACAAAAATACCTAAGTTTTTTCAGGTGTCATGCAAGTAGGGAGATGATGTAGAGAGCTTAATCTGATCCCTTCAAGGGAAAACCTTCACTGTGATTGTGACCATTGGCATCACAGAACATTAGGAGTTGGAAGGGACCTCGAAAGACCATCCAGTCCAACCCCCCTGCCAGAGCAGGATCACCTAGACCAGGTCACACAGGAATGTGTCCAGGCGGGTTTTGAATGTCTCTAGAGAAGGAGCCTCCACAACCTCTCTGGGCAGTCCGGTCCAGTGCTCTGTAACCCTTACAGTAAAAACATTTTTCCTTATGTTCACATGGAACCTCCTATGTTCCAGCTTGCACCTGTTGCTCCTTGTCCTGTCATTGGACATCAGAGAGAAGAGCCTGGCTCCTTCCTCCTGACATTTGCCCTCTACAAATTTATAAATATTAATGGGGTCACCCCTCAGTCTCCTCTTCTCCAAGCTAAAGAGACCCAGCTCCCTTAGCTGCTTGCTTTACACATGCAATTAGCACTAACCACAGTAATTGTCTGTTCTTGAGCCTGTACTCAAAGGAGATTTGGGAATGGAGCTGTGGATGTTATAGTAGGAAAAGAGTATATTTGCACAAAAGGAGCAAATCTGTTGAAACCGTGCATCATTTGTTCCACTGCTTATAGAAAATATTTTTTTAAATCTTTTCTAAAAGAAGACAAAATCAGTCATACTTTTCCTTACCTCATCAAAACTAGTTGACTAGGATACCTTCAAATTGATAGCTTAAGTGGACAGATGTTGGACAAGTGCAACTAACTTTGGACTACCTAAATCTGCACACTTTCTCAGAAGACGCCATCTGGGCATACTAATTTCTCTGTGTATCTGCTGCTGAGACAAATTCTAGGTTGAGTTTTGCTGACATTTTTACATATAGCATATTTTCAACAAAACTGTTAGCATAGTAAGGTAGCTGTTCTGCTATTGTAACATTTCTGAAGTCAGAGCTCAGCAAGCAAAAGGATTGGGAGTACATCGCTACGTCATAGTATGCGGAGTGTGCAAGTTGTATGAACATTTGCAATTCTCTGTTTCTCTCAGATTCTGATCTTTTTGGAGAAAACTCAAATGGTGACTCTTTGCTTGAATGGCTGAACACTTTTCATCGCACAGGAAATGCCACTCGCAGTGGACAGAGTGGGAACCAAACCTGGAGAGCTGTGAGTAGAACAAATCTGAACAGTGGAGAGTTTCACTTTAGCCTTGAAATCAACATAAATCATGAGCATAACAATTTTGAAGCTGCCGATGAGGAGTATGCAGGTACAGATAGCAGCAGAATGCATTCAGAAAGAAGACATCAAAGAGCTGCCAGTCTGGTAACCCCACGAACGAGGAGCAGGCCTCCAAGAGAGGCAAACAGTGAGGCTTCAAGCACTGCAAGGACCAGGTCTGCACGAAGTTCTGTGGCGCAAAGCTCTGAAGCAGCCTCTCACCTGGTCTCAGGGAGGCTCAGGAGTAGAACAAGAGAGTTGACAGGGCTTTCCCAAATGAACACTACACATAATAATTCAGCTGCTACTGGTGAACAAAGAGAAGTACCTGAAAGAGGAGTCACAAGAGGTAGAGCTAGAACAAGTGTTCGGATGAGTGCAAACCAAAGACTAGAAACTGTGCGGCTGAGGTCTACTTTAAGAAGTCGAAGCCGCTCACCACTGCAAAGGCAAGGTGATGCTGCTAATTCTGAGGAACATGGGCAGAGACGGAATAGAAATGCACATCAAGGCAACAGAAGTAGAAGACCAACAGCTCAGCCTTCTCTACACCCTGCCGAAGAACAAGCAAGAGGTAACACTCAGACTCCTCAGCTTTCCAGTGTAGCCCCGTCCTTGGGAATAACTTCAGAAGAGGAGGAATCTAGTAGGCCAGTAGCTGCTGTTAGGAGGCATCCAGCAATTACATTAGATCTTCAGGTGAGAAGAATTCGTCCTGGAGAAAATGAAGATCACGACAGTATTGCCAGCAGAACTCGTTCTAGAGTAGGAATGGCAGGAAATACAGTTACCTTTGAAAGTGACATTGGGGGATTTCGACGTACAATATCACGATCGGAACGTGCAGGTGTTCGAACCTACGTTAGCACTATACGGATACCTCTTCATCAGATTTCAGAAACTGGGCTTGGTGAACCCTCATCAGTGGCTCTTCGAACAATCCTTAGACAAATTATGACAAGCTTTGGAGAACTGAGTTCTCTAATGGAAACCGATTCTATCTCAGAACTGCAAAGAGGTGGTCATCACTTACTGGATGTACAGTCAGAGCAAAATAACTCAAGTTCAGGAAGCAATAGCAATGATCCAAGTGAGGTTTCATCTAGAAATGGGCATGCAGTAGAAGGCAGCAGGGAAACAAATGGACAGAGTGATGATAGTCGACGCTATGGCCGCAATACTGAAAGCCAAGATAACAGGCAGTCTCAGGATGCAAACAACCTCATGGAAAATGAAACGCTGTCCATACTACAACTTGCCCGCTTCTTCCTGCTGAGTGAAGATGAGGATGACGATCGTTTAAGAGGTTTAACCAAAGAGCAGATTGACAATCTTTCTACCCGGAACTATGAGGATATCCACACTGAAAATGAAATAAGTGAAACATGTAGTGTTTGCATTAATGAATATGTAGCAGGGAATAAGCTAAGGCAGTTACCTTGTATGCATGAGTTTCATATTCATTGTATTGATCGCTGGCTTTCTGAAAACTCCACTTGCCCAATTTGTCGGCAGCCTGTATTGGGGTCTAATGCCACAGATGATGGCTAGAATTATTTCTTTTGCTCTTATTTATAATGAGCCAGATGGAATGAATAGACTTACATAGGGGTCCATTTGTTTTGGAGTTCTTGTTAAATTTCTTTAGAAATAATAGGAAACTTGTTTAAATCTAGCTACATAAATACTATTTTTCTCCAAGTTCAGATCTAGGAGTACACATAGAACCAAATAATATCAGTAAAGTTTATATTTTTTTAGGTAATTTTGTTATGCTAAGCACTTTTGTAAATACAGAAATGCAATAGTTAATCAGCCCTGCTTAATGTATGGTTTTTTTAGGTATAATGGACTCACTTTATTTAGATTACAAATTGTTTCACACAGACCCACCACTGTGTTGAAAAATTAATGTCTAAATAGCTATTCATTAGTTTTTTGTTCTAAGAACAATTTCTTTCACGGAAAGTCTCTTGCTGAACATGTTTGTTAAAGATATTTAAGTTACTTGAAGTTCTCATTTCAATGCACTGTATTTTTTTTTCCAACGGAAATAGCCTTTCCAAAAACTTGCCAGTTCGGTTCAGTTTTAAAAAAATAACGGCAATTTTTCCATGTGGTCTTACACAGTGCTTAACGCTGATGAGTTTGTATTCAAAAGTGGATGGGTTAGTGACATTATCAAATGTACATAATTAGCTGCTGTCTTTGACAATCGCTCTTTTCAATGCAGACAGCAGTCAAATCAATAATTCCAAGAGGACATGTCTTACTGAACATGGTATTTGCTCAAAGAACACAAGAGCTCTGAGGAAGCCTTTTTACTCTTCCAAATTACTCAGTTGATATTCTTGGGTTTTTAACTGCCTTAGTTTAAAGAGGGAAGTACTTCCTTGACCATTATATTGTCTACAGTATGCATGGTTTGTGCATCCTATTCAGAAAAACAAAACGAAGGCTTAAAGTGGTTTTGTCCAGAAATTTAAGGTACACTTTTATATTAGTCCTCTTAAAAGGTTTCTGAGGACCGAATGGCAAAAGACACTAAAAAGAACAAAATATGCTTGCCTTAAAGTCCCCAGATAACTGTATAATTAGATATTAAGCTTTATACAAATAACTTATAAAGAAATAAAGTTGCAGACTAAATAATTGAGGCTTTGTGTGAATTACTGTTGAGCCATATCCTATAGATTGGTAAGAAGATCTGTCATTCTTGATGTTCCATCTCAGTTCCCACTTTATGCTTTTCCTGGTTCCCCCAGCTGTGTACTTGTGTTTCCACAATGTGTGTGTTAGCTGTTCTGGTAGAGAAGAATGCAAGGCAAAGCACTGCTGGGGCTTCTGGAAGTCAGTTGAACACTGCAGAACTCATCTTCTGAGAACTGTGCATCTCAGTCCTTGCGGAAAAGCAGAATTGTGCGGTACTCTTGGGCATGTATATTCTGAGTGGCAGAAAGAATACTTAAAGCGAAGAAGCCTTTCTTTGCCTGCTGATGGCCTTGGCAAAGGTGCTTCTGTGCCAGATGCTTCAGTTAAAACATATGCTCATGAAGGAAGGGAAACTATGAAATCCTGTATTGAGCTATTGGATGCCTACTTCTGTTTTGCAAGTGAGGAAACTTGTGTTAAAATTTCCACAAAAGTGCTGCTTTTTATTTCCAAAAGTAATTCTGAGGAATTCTCTTAAGAGAGCTAGATGACTTTAAGGATATGATTAACATCTTTTCTGATGTGATTTGGACTGCTAATTATTGCACACACTGCTGACACCTTTGAGTGCCTCTTCAGCCATATTAAAGAGTGAGGACATTTAAACATGATTATCAGAACTAGCTTATTTTTTAAGTTTTTTTCTATTACTTTTATTAGCTCCTGTTGTTGACTTATCAAAATACATGGGTGCCTTCTGCTACTTCCTTGTCTCCTTAGGGTTTTCCTTTATGCTTGAAAGCTGCCTGACTCAAGTGCCACATGTATAGAAACCTGTCTTTGGCTCACCATTGCCTTGCTGGTTGGTTGGGGTGGGTTTTGTTTGGCTTTCCTCACCCCCCAATAACTGAGAAGTCCTAATTAATTGCTTTTGATACAGAAGCTATTCCTCTGTAACTATTCTTGTTGCTCTTTTGAAATGGGATAACTGGTACTCATGTGGAATTCAATATGTGGATGCACTAGGCATATAGGTCATATAGTGATATAACAACTGCTTTTTTTCCTCTCTCATCTTCCAAATAATTCCTAATATTTTGATTGCTGCTCAACACTGAGCTTATATCTGAACAAATTTTGCAAAAGGATTTCACAGACTCTTAAATTTAATTGCTAATTTAGAACATTGTTGCATGCTTTTTGTGTACTATTGTGTATGGTTTTTTTCCTTTTGGATTATTCTGTACGTTGTGTGTAAGGCAAACTTTCTTTGCCCTTTTACCATCCTGCCACCTGTGATTTTTCTTTGCTTCTAATACCTCAGTAATTCTGCACCATTTGCAGATTTTATCACTTATTTTTTTCTGTTCATTTATAAGTATGTCATATAGCATAGATATTCTAATTCAAAGTTTAATCAATTATTTCTAGCTACTTAACCAGTAGTTTTGTGATTTAGTTTTTCTTTTAATAACAGAGACTAGAGGTACATAAATGTGGTTTATACAGTTGCTCTATCACCTGATGCCTCTTCCTCACCCAGGAAGAGAGGTCAGGAAAAGGAGAGATTTGTGGGTTGAAATAGAAATATATTTAATAATAATATTAAAAACTAATATTAACAACAGTTATAATACAGAATACACAGAGCTATACTCAGCCAATATTATGAGGGATTAGGCCTTAGGGGTAGGATGGTAAATAGGTACCACTTGAGATGTCAGCCATGAAAGAAGGAAGAAGGAGAATCACAGAATCACAGAATGCTAGGAGTTGGAAGGGACCTCTGAAGATCATCCAGTCCAACCCCCCTGCCAGAGCAGGATCACCTAGACCAAGTCACACAGGAATGGGTCCAGGCGGGTTTTGAATGTCTCCAGAGAAGGAGACTCCACAAGCACTCTGAGCAGTCCTGAGAAGGAAGAGCAGTCCCCAGCAAACTCCCCATTTTGTAATGAATGTGACATTTATGGTATGGAATAATACCAATTGGTCAGCTTGGGGTCAGCTTCCCTGGGTTTCTGCTCCCCCCAGCTTCTGTACCTGGTTATCTCGAGACTGCTTGAAGACCTTGAGCATCGCATACCAGCTTTAGCTGAAAAACTAAAAAGAAAGTCTTATCACTTTGTTCCTGTGAAATAGAGTTGTAGTCCTTACAGAATTGCAGTTTTCCTCAACAGAAAACACTAAAATTCTTCCCCAGTAAACCAGGACAATAAATATATAAAATAAATACAGTAACTATACTTAAGCTGATACTAGTTGAGAATTTGAAATCCAAGTAAAGCACTGACAGAATGAAGCTTGCCTGTTAATTATTACCTTTAATTATCCCTAAAGTCCATCTGATTAGGTCAGCTAATAACATGTTTTATCCTTTCTTAAGTTTGTAAAAGGGCTGAGGAGAGGAGTACTACTTGCTTACTTTTCATATATTTAATATAAAGGTGCAATAGCCTTTGCCTATGTCCTCCTTCACAGGACAGCTTTATAATGATACTACATGTCATTGAAAGTAAAAGAAAATCTCTGGTATGTAAATAAGCACAATGATAAAACACTTTGGCTACTCAAGTTTGTCTCTAAAATTAGAAAAGCATCAAAGTATATTTTTGCATCACATTCATTTTCAAGAGTGAGATGCAATTTGTGTTGCAGTCTGCTACTGCTGGAATAACCTGAGTTCAGACACTAAAGCAAGTGTGTGTAACACATTACTTGTTAAGCTCTTAGGAGCTTCATTTTTGCAGTGTCGGTCATTTTTTTAGCAGGTTTAGACACTTAATATTTTAAAGTGGCACATGATGGGCTTCTTTTAAAAGAGTTTTTGTTGAGTATTACAGGCGCAGGTTTCTTTGGTTGTTCATTTTTGTTTTGTTTTTTGCCTTTTTTTTCCCAAAAAGGAATACCAAAGCCAAGTGTTCAAAGTCTGGAATGCTACAGGTCTGTTCTGTTCTTTTTTCCTCCCCCACCCTTGTAAACGTCCCCAATCCTCTGTCCCACTAAACTGCAAACAATCCAGTATTCCACTACATTCCTTCCTGTTCTTGACATCTCAGCATCATCTACATTTTTCTCATGGATGTTTTCATTTACTTTAGTTGACTTTCAGCTCTCAGAAGCTGAACACTAAACACATTTTTCTCCTTTTTTGAAGTTACACTTCAACTACTGTAGAACTGTATCCATCACCCTTGCTGGGCTCGACTTCATCTGTGTGTCTCACCTGCTCCTGGCTGACTACATCTTGTGCTGAAGGCAGCAGGAGATCTAGGTGCTTCCCAGCCAGGTTTGTGTGTCATGGGAATGCTGCTCACGTTAGGCTGTGCAATCTTGGCACCATGTTTGTACAAGAAACCTCAAAAGTAAAGTTGAGCTCCCATGTATTTGTTGTCTTGGTATGTCTAATGTGGAAGCAGGAGGGATTCACCTCTCAGACTGATTCTGCATTTCTCAGGCTTGTGTTTTGGTGTGATGATTTGGTCATTTGCAATTCCTGCCTGTTAGTGCAGGACTTTTTTACTGCTATAAAAATGTATATGCGAGAGTATGTGTTACCATATATTTGCCCACTTGGCCTGCAGCAAAAAGCTGCCTTCCCAGAGAGAGCGCTTTATGGTGCTGATTCCAGCTATTCCCAGGGGTGCTGAGAAGGTGATCTAGCCAGGATCAAACCCTCCACCCTTTTCATGTGACAGGCAGACGACAAGATTGGGAGAAACTAGAGGCAATTAGAAATGGGTGACACCTGCAGAAGGGCGTTGAGAGGTGGGCTGCTTTCAGGAGAGTTCTGGAGGTTTCTGTTGAAGTAAATAACAACAGAATGTGTATGTCCTCTTGTGTAATACACGGGTCCGTGCTCAATCTGTGAGGTGGAAGCGGGGATGCGAGAAGTTAGC